GTTTCATAATTTTTAAAAAAGGGCAGTTTTTACCCACGAAGTTTCATCTTCTTAAAAAAAAAAATTTGGGAGCCCCGTGAACATTTCGCATTAAAAAAAAATACATTTGGCGCCCCCGAGAAACTTTCACATTCTAAAAAATATATCTATGTACATTTGGGGCTCCCGAGAAGGTTTCACAATCTTTAATAATAAGACAGTTGGGTGTCCCGAGAAGCTTTTACATTAAAAAAAAAAAAAACAGTTGGGACTCCAGAGAAGGTTTGACTTTTTTTTTCGATACTTCAATTTTAGGATTTTTTCACTTTTTGGGGTTTCTAACTTTCGATTTCTCGATTTTTCAGTTTTTCAATTCATCGATTTTTCGATTTGTTGATTTTCCCACTTCACGAGTTTTCGACTACTTGATTTCTCGATTTGTCAGTTTTCTCAATTCTTCAATTTTTCGTTTTTTCTGGTTTTTGATTTTTCCATTTTTTAAATTTTCGGTTTTTCCATTTGACGATTTTTTTACTTTTCGATTTCTCTATTATTTTTCAGTTTGATTTATCAATTTCTCGATTTTTTGTGTTTTCCATTTTTTAGTTTTTTAAATTTTCGGTTTTTCGAGGTTTCAATTTTGAGGTTTTTCAATTTTTCGATTCTTTAATTTTTTTCTTCAATTTTACAATTTTTGAATTATGGTTTTATCAATTTTTGGATATTTCACTTTTGGGATTTTTCGATTTCTCAATTTTCCGATATTTCATCTACGATTTTTCAATTTGATTTTTCGATTTTTTGATTTTCCTATTTCTGGATTTTTCAATTTTTCAGTTTTTCAATTTTACGATTTATAGTTTTGCAATGTTTCAGTTTTGGGATTTTCCAATATTTCGGTGTTTCAGTTTTGGAGTTTTTCAATTTTTGTATTCTTTAATTTTTCCTTCGATTTTGCAATTTTTCGATTTATGGGTTTTACAGTTTTCCAATATTTCAATTTTGGGATTTTTAAGTTTTTCGAATTTTTGACTATTAAATTCTTTAATTTTTTGATTTTCCCACTTCTCGAGTTTTCAACTACTTGATTTCTCGATTTTTCAGTTTTTTTAATTTTTCAATTTTTCGTTTTTTCTGGTTTTTGATTTTCCCATTTTTTACATTTTCGGTTTTTCGATTTGACGATTTTTTGACTTTTCGATTTATCTATTATTTTTCATTTTGATTTATCAATTTCTCGATTTTTTTGATTTTCCCATTCCCCGAGTTTTCGATTTCTCGATTTTTCAGTTTTTCAATTTTTCGATTTTTCAAGTTTTTCATTTTTCAGTATTTTAAATTTTCGGTTTTTCAATGTTTCAGTTTTGGAGTTTTTCGATTTTTCGATTCAATTGTTTCCTCGATTTTGCAATTTTTCGATTTATGATTTTATCAATTTTTCGATATTTCACTTTTGGGATTTTTCAATTTTTCGATTTCTCAATTTTCAGATATTTCAGTTTTACAATTTTTCAGCTTGTTGATTCTTCAATTTTTCGATTTTTCAATTTTTGGCCTTTCTAAATTTGTGATTATTCGATTGTTTGACTTTAAGATTTGTCTATTTTTTGATATCCTCATTTCTCGAGTTTTCGAATTTTCGCTTTCTTCTCAATTTTCCGATATTTCAATTTTACAATTTTTTCAATTTTTGGGTTACTAATTTTCGATTTCTCGATTTTTTTGATTTTCCCATTTATCGACTTCTCGATTTTTCAGTTTTTCTAGTTCTCGGTTTTTCAAGTTCTCCATTTTTCAGTTTTTTAAATTTTCGGTTTTTCGATGTTTCAGTTTTGGGATTTTTCAATTTTTGACCTTTCTAAATTTTTGATTTTTTGATTTTCCTATTTCTCGAGTTTTCGAACTGTCGCTTTTTCAGTTTTCCAATTTTTCGATTTATCAATTTATCAATTTTCCTCTTTTTAAAATTTTAGGTTTTTCGATTTTTCGACTTTTTAATTTTTTTAAGTTTTCGACTTCTTTATTTCTCGATTTTTCAGTTTTTTCAATTCTGCAATTTTTCGATTTTATAAATTTTCATTTTTACGATTTGACGGGGTTTTGACTTCGATTTCTGGACTATTTTTCAGTTTCATTTATCAGTTTTTCGATTTTTTGTTTTTCCCATTTCTCGAGTTTTCGATTTCGCGATTTTTCAGTTTCTCGATTTTCAACTTTTTAGTTTTTCGTTTTATCGACTTTTCCATATTTCATATTTACCAAGTCTTTGATTTTTTTTGTCAATTTTGTAATTTTTCGGTTTTTTACTTTCCGATATTTCAGTTTTACGATTTTTCAACTTTTCAATAATTCAATTTTTGACCTTTCCAAATTATCGATTTTTCAATTTATCGACTTTTAAATTTTTCTATTTTTTAATTTTCCATTTTTCTAGAGATTTCGATTTATCAACGTTTCTATAATTCAGGTTTGGGATTTTAAACTTATCGATGTTTCAGTTTTGAGATTTTTCAATTTTTTTCTAATTTTCGATTTGATTTCCCCATTTTCCAGTTTTTCAATTTTTCGACTTGACGATTTTTCGACTTTTCAATTTTTCCATTTCTCAATTTTCGATATTTCAGTTTTACAATTTTTGAACTTTTATTCTTCAATTTTTCGATTTCTGGATTTTTTGACTAACATTTTTCAATTTTTTCATTTCCTTATTTCTCGACTTCTAATTTTTCATTTTTTCGATTTTTCGCCTTTTAGATTTTTCGATTTGTTAGTTTTCCCAATTCTTGAGTTTTCTACTTGATTTCCCGATTTCTCAGTTTTTTTAATTTTTGATTTTTTTGGTTTTTGATTTTTCTATTTTTTATATTTTCGGTTTTTCGATTTGACGTTTTTTTGACTTTTCGATTTCTCGATTTTTTCCAGTTTGATTTATCGGTTTCTAGATTTTTTTATTTTGCCATTTCTCGACTTCTTTCGACTTGTCGATTTTTCAATTTTTCATTTTTTTGGTTTTTCAATTTTTTAAATTGTCGATTTTTCGACTTTCCAATTTTTCGATTTGTTTCAGTTTGGAGTTTTTCAATATTTCGATTTTTAAGTTTTGAAGTTTTTCAACTTTTCGATTCTTCAATTTTTCAATTTTTGGCTTTTCTAAATTTTTAACTTTTCAGCTTTTCAACTTTTGGATTTCTCGATTTTCTTGATTAGATTCTTTAATTTTTTCATTTTCCCATTTCTTGAGTTTTCGTTTTATCGACTTTTCGATATTTCAGGTTTGGGATTTTACGATTTTTTGTTATTTCAGTTTTAAGATTTTTCAGTTTCTGGCGTTTCTAATTTTCGATTTGATTTCTCCATTTTTCAGTTTTTCAATTTTTCGGTTTTTCAATTCTTCAGGTTTTCGATTTTCAACTTTTCAGGTTTGGGATTTTACAATTTTTCGAGTTTCAGAATTTTCAGTTTTTGGCGTTTCTTATTTTCGATTCGATTTCTCGATTTTGCAGTGTTTCAATTTTGGGATTTTGCATATTTTCGATGTTTCAATTTATCGACTTAGATTTTTCGATTTTTTAATTTTTCCATTTCTCGGGTTTTCCACTTCTTGATTTCCCGATTTTTCAATTTTTTGACTTTTTCGATTTGACGATTTTTTGACTTTTCGATTTCTCGATTATTTTTCAGTTTGATTTATCAGTTTCTCGATTTTTTTATTTTCCCATTTCTTGAGTTCTTCCGACTTGTCGATTTTTCAATTTTTCGATTTATCGTTTTTCGATGTTTCAGTTTTGGAGTTTTTCAATTATTCGATTCTTTAAATTATCCTTTGATTTTGCAATTTTTCGATTTATGGATGTATCAATTTTTCGATATTTCAGTTTTACTGTTTTTCAACTTTTCGATTCTTCAATTTTTGGCCTTTCTAAATTTTTAATTTTTCAACTTTTCGATTTTTCAGTTTTTCAAATCTTCGATTCTTTCATTTTGCAATTTTTCGATATTTAAGTTTTGGGATTTTTCAATTTTACTGTTTTTCAACTTTTCAATTTTTCGAGGTTCCAATTTTGGGATTTTTCAGTTTACCGATTCTTTGATTTTTTTATTTTCCGATATTTTTGCAGTTTTACGATTTTACTTTTCAATTTATCCATTTTTAGGTTATTCGATTTTTTAATTTTCTCATTTCTGACGTTTTCGAGTTCTCGATTTTTCAGTTTTTTAATTTTTCGGTTTTCAACTTTTCTATATTTCAGGTTTGGGATTTCAGATTTTTCAGTTTTTCGACTTTTCAATTTTCCAATATTTCAGTTTTACAATTTCTTGATTTTTTGAATATTAAATTCTTTCTTCAATTTTTTGATTTCCCATTTGTCGAGTTTTCGATTTCTTGATTTTCGACTTTTTAGTTTTTCGATAGGTTTGGAATTTTACAATTTTTCGATATTTTAGTTTTAAGATTTTTCAATTTTTGGGGTTTCTAATTTTCGATTCGAATTCTCCATTTCCCAGTTTTTCGATGTTCTAGTTTTGGGATTTTTCAGTTTACCAATTCTTTAATTTTTTCTTTGATTTTGGAATTTTCTGATTTTTTTATCTTCCATTTTACTATTTTTCGACTTTTAGATTTTTTAATTTTTTCATTTCTCGGGTTTTCGTCTTGGTAAGATGAGACTGATTTTGGTAAATGACATATCTTCTAAGAAAAAAAAGGGTGGGTGGGTGGGGCTAAAATTTGTTAAGCTTAAACTAAACAATAACAGTATTGTATTCCCAAAATTTTTTGGGAAAAAATAAATTGACTCATCCACTAAATGAAAAATATCAATGCAATGGTAAATCACAAGTAAAAACTCATCACATTTGCGGTAGAATTTATGCGGCAAAATTTTGAGAGGACGTTAATTTTTTGGGGGACAGATATATGTATTTTGATTAACAATTTACCATGCTTACAATAACTTTAAAACGTCTGCAAGATTTCGACACGGAGTCATAAACTACATGTACAATAATAAACACACTGCTAAAAAAATGAATGTTTTATTGACTGTAATGTACAACAAAGATAATTACAGCTGTATAAAAATATAGTGGTTAAAATTTTGAACGGTCTTACGTTACTTTCACAACATTCAAGACAAAGTAGAAGAATTCGTTGCCACTAAATACTGAACTCTCAGTAACTACGTAGGTTGAAATAAAACTCCATGATCATAAGCACGCTCATTTCCGTAAAACAATAAAAATAAATACTTACAAACCAAAAAGAAAAAATAAACCGCATCGTGTGATCATAGGTCAGTTAGAGAAAACACTGTATACATATACCAAGTGTTAAGTGACACTTGAAGCAACTAAATCGACCTTTTCACTTCACTAGCAGAAACCCTTGTACGTTAGCAATGAATTTATCAAAATTATCCCTAAACTTCAGCTTGGGTTGACGTTCTCCATTCATAGCTACATTCAGTGTCAAATTGTGAAAAGCTGCCGCTAACCTGTCCGCTATCAAAGGATCAACCTGCGACTTAATCAACCTATCCACCAGCCCCCTGTACTCCTCCTCATAACAACAAATCAAAGCATAAATACAAGTACTAGCAGAACTCATGAGATCAGAATTAATTTGGTGCGAAAGCGTCAAATCCAAAATCAGTTTCAAAAACGGCTTCATAGCCTGGCAGATCGGCGACTGCTGCAACGAATTCCTGAAAAAATACGACGACATCCCTTGTACGAAATCCAACGACGCTTGAGCCACGTCCGACCCGAACTGAGTCAAACCGAGTTCGATCGAACTGAGCAACTGCTGGAACAAATTCTGCGGCAAGTTGCAGATCTTCTCCGGGTAGATGTCGTTGATTAAAACTAACAATCTGTAATATTGCGAGCACAAACTGGGATACTTGAGGAGATCGACAGTCATTAAAGGCATGATGAAGTTTAAACCGAACAACGAAACGTCGGAAGCCGTCACCGTAACCACTTCCTCGTCGATGGGACACAAGTCTATGCAATCTTTGGATAGAATGAACGTTAGTAAATCGAGAATCAGCGCCAAATCCTGGAAACTGTTCTCCTCGGCTAGCGTCTCGCCGCTGAATTTGTTAGAATTGCACTTGGCGTAAGCTTGAACGGTGGCTAAGGTGCTTTCGTACAGTTTCTTGCTGTCGAGTTGGCATAGATAACACAGCATGTTTTTAGCGCATTGACCGAATAGTTCCAGGATTAGTTGGACTATGATTTGGTAGTTGTTGTAGAAGGTTAGTATTTTTGGTAGTTCTGCTAGCATGGGTGCGAGGAATTGGAAGAGGATTTGCACGGTGGTCATGTGGGAGCCTTTGGCTATCCCGATGAAACTCTCCAGGATGTCGATCACTTCCTTTTGGACTTCTTCTTTGTGGTAGTTGGCTCGGAAGGTGCCTTCTTGGGTGACTAAGTTGTCGAAGCGGACTTTGAGAGGGCTGAGGATTTGGTCGAAGTAGCCGTTGAGTTCTTGCATGTCGCGTAAAGCGACGCCCGCGAGAACGAAGCTCTTGAAGAGGTCCCGGCGAATGTTGGGGGGTAAACCACCTGGAGCTAGTTTCTCCTGCAGGGTTATGAGGTTCCACAAGCTCTTGCTCTTGACGATGCAGAGGGACCTGGGGAATTAAAAAACGCGACTACGTTGTGCTGTCCCAGCCCGCAGGAGGAAGTTGAATTCGAGGCGGGAAATTCAAATCGACGCTAGTTTGTAATATTTTTAACAAGAGTCACGATTATGGAGATAAATTACTGAAAAAATGGTCTAAAAATGATAAAAATTTGATTATATGAAAATACGGAAAATTGAGTGAGTCGTTTCTGGTTTATTCGGCAAAATTTTGAGATGACATCATCAATTTTAATTTACTCATGGATCATATATGGAAAAAAACTGAAATATCGAAAAATCGAAACGGAAAATTGAAAAAATGACGAATCCCAAAACCGAAATATCAGAAAATTGATACATTGAAAAGTCAAAAAAAAAAAACAACGAAAAACCGAATACTAAAAAAACTGAAGAAACTGAAAATCAAGAAATGGGAAAATCAAAAAATCGAAAAACTGATAACGCGAAAAACTGAACAAAATTCAAAACTTAAATATAAAAAAAAACTTGTAAATCGATAAATCGAAAAATTGTAAAATGGAAGAAAAATTATAGAATCGATACATTGAAGTCAAAAAATCGAAATTTACAAAACTGAAAAATCGAGAAATCAAAGACGAAAACTCGAGCAATGGGAAAAGCAACAACAATCGAAAAATCTAAAAGTTAAAAAATCGAAAAATTGAAAAATCGAGAAGTCCAAAAATTCAAGAAATGGGAAAATTAAAAAATTGAAGAATCGAAAAACACTAAAAGTATATCGAAAAATTGATTAATCTATAAATGGAAAAATTGTAAAATCAAAGGAAAAATTAAAGAATCGAAACACTGAAAAACTCCAAAACTGAAACATCGAAATATTGAAAAATCCTAAAACGATGTTTGAAACATCGAAAAACGATAAATCGAAAAACTGAAAAATCGACGAGTCGAAAGAAAACTCCAGAAATGCGAAAAATTAAAAAATCTAAAAACTGATACATCGAAGTGAAAAATAATCGAGAAATCGAAAAGTCAAAAAATCGTCAAATCGAAAAACCGAAAATATAAAAAATCGAAAAATGAAAAACTTCTTGATATTTCGACTTTTAGATTTTTAGATTTTTTAATTTTCTCATTTCTCGGGTTTTCGACTTGTCAGTTTTTAAATTTTTCGGTTCTTTCATTTTTTCTTCGATTTTGCAATTTTCCAACTTTTCAGTGTTTCGATATTTCAGGTTTGGGACTTTAAAATTTTTCTATATTTTAGTTTTAAGATTTTTCAATTTTTGGCGTTCCATTTTCCAGTTTTTCAATTAAAGGTTTTCGATTTTTCGATGTTCGAGTTTTGGGGTTTTTCAGTTAACCAATTCTTTAATTTTTTCTTTGATTTTGCAATTTTCTAATTTGTTTACGTTCCGATATTTCAGTTTTATGATTTTTTTATTTTCAATTATTCAATTTTTGACCTTTCCAAATTTTCTATTTTTCAATTTATCGACTTTTCGATTTTTTAATTGTCCCATTTCTCGGGTTTTTGAGTTCTAGACTTTGGGACTTTAAAATTTTTCGATAGTTCAGTTTTAAAATTTTTCAATTTTTGGGGTTTCTAATTTTCTATTCGATTTCTCCATTTTCCAATTTTTCGATTTTTCAGTTTTTCGATTTCTCAATTTTCCGATATTTCAATTTTACAAGTTTTCAACTATTTGATTCTTCAATTTTTCGATTTTCCAATTTCTCGATTTCTCAATTTTCCGATATTTCAGTTTTACAATTTATCAACTTTTTGATTCTTCAATTTTTCGAGTTTTCAAGTTTTCGATTTCTGGATTTTTTGATTATTAAATTCTTTCTTCAATTTTTTGATTTTCCCATTTCGCGAGTTTTCGATTTCTCGATTTTTCAATTTTTTAGTTTTTCGATATTTCAGGTTTGGGATTTTACAATTTTGTGGTTTCTAATTCTCGATTCGAATTCTCCATTTTCGATTTTTCAGCTTACCAATTCTTTGATTTTTTCTTTGATAAATCGAAAAACTGAAAAATCGACAAGTCGAAAGAAAACTCCAGCAATGGGAAGAATTAAAAAATCTAAAAACTGATACATCATAAGTGAAAAATAATTGAGAAATCGAAGTCAAAAAATCGTCAAATCGAAAAACTGAAAATATAAAAAATCGAAAAATGAAAAACCAGAAAAATCTAAAAATTGAAGAAACTGAAAAATCGAGAAATCAAGATGTGGAAAACTCGAGAATTGGGAAAATTAGGAAAACTAACAAATCGAAAAATCTAAAAGGCGAAAAATCTAAAAACTGAAAAATCGTAAAACTGAAATATCGGAAAATTGAGAAATCGAAAACTCGAAAAACTGAAAAATTTAAAAGTCGAAAAATGATTGAACCAAAAAATAGAAAAATGTCAAAGTCAAAAAATCCAGAAATCGAAAAGTTAAGAAATCGAAAAATTGAATCAAAAAGAAAAATATTAGAAAATTGAGAAATACAAAAATTGAAAAGTGGAAAAATTGAAAAACTGGAAAATGGAGAAATCGAATCGAAAATTAGAAACCTCAAAAATTGAAACAATCTTAAAACTAAAATATCGAAAAATTTAAAATCCCAAACTTGAATAATAGAAAAGTTGATAAACCCAAAAACTGAAACGTTGAAAACTGAAAAATTGAAAAACTGAAAAATCGAGAAGTTGAAAACCTCAGAAATGAGAAAATTAAAAATCGAAAAATATAAAAGTCGATAAATTGAAAAGCTCAGAAATTGAAAAATTGAAAATTTGTAAAGACCAAAAACTGAAAAGTTTAAAAATCGTAAAACTGAAAAAATATCAGAAAATAAAACAATCGGAAAATTGCAAAATCGAAGATGAAAAATCCCAAAACTTAAATATCAAAAAATTGCAAAATCAAAGAAAAATATAGAAAAATTGAAAAATCTAAAAGTTGATAAATTGAAAAATCGAAAATTTGGAAAGGTAAAACATTGAATAATTGAAAAGTTGAAAAATCGTAAAACTGAAATATCGGAAAGTAAAAAAATCGAAAAATTGCAAATTCGAGAACTCGAATCGAAAATTAGAAACGACAAAAACTGAAAAATCTTAAACTTGAAATATCGAAAAATTGTAAAATCCCATACCTGAAAAGTCGAAAAACTGAAAAGTTGAAAATCGAAAACCTGAAAAATCGAAAAATTGAAAAACTGGAAAATGGAGAAATCGAATCGAAAATTAGAAACACCAAAAATTGAAAAATCTTAAAACTGAAATATCAAAAAATCGTAAAATCACAGAAACTGAAATAAACAAGTCGAAAACTCGAGAAATGGGAAAAACAAAAAATCGAACAATTGATAAATGCAACTGAAAAATAATCGAAAAATCCAAAAGTCAAAAACCCGACAAATCGGAAAAATGAAAATTTAAAAAATCAAAAACCAGAAAAATCGAAAAACTGCAGAATTGAAAAAGCTGAAAAATTTTGAAAGGCCAAAAAAGTAGAAAAACAGTAAAACTGAAATATCGGAAAATTGAGAACTCGAAAAACTGAAAAATCCCAAAACTGAAATATCGAAAAATTGCAAAATCGATGGAAAAATTAAAGAATCGAAAAATTGAAAAACTCCGAAACTGAAATATCGAAATATTGAAAAATCCCAAAACTCAAACATTGAAAAATCATAAATCGAAAAATTAAAAAGTCAAAAATCGGAAATTTAAAAAACTAGAAAATCGAAAAACTAAAAAATCGAGAATTCAAAAATTTAGAAAAGCCAAAATTTGAAAAATCGTAAAGATGAATGAAATATCGGAAAACTGAGAAATCGAAAAATCCCAAAAGTTAAATATCGAAAAATTCATAAAACTATAAATCGAAAAATTCATAAAACTATAAATCGAAAAATTGCAAAATCGAAGAAAAAATTAAAATGGAAAAATTGAAAAACCCCAAAACTACAACATGGAAAAACCGAAAATTAAAAAAAAATGAAAAATTTAAAAACTCGAAAAATCGATAAACTGAATAATCGAGAAGTCGAAAACTCGAGAAGTGGGAAAATAAAAAAAAAATGGAGAAATTGATAAATCAAACTGAAAAATAATAGAGAAATCGAAAAGTGAAACAAAAAATCGTCAAATCGAAAAACCGAAAATTAAAAAAAAAACAGAAAAACCGAAAAATTGAAGAATTGAAAAAATTGAAAAATCGAGAAATCCAAGTAGTCGAAAACTCGAGAAGTGGGAAAACCAACAAATCGAAAAATCTAAAAGTCGGAAAATCTAAAAATTGAAAAACTGAAATATCGAAAATTAGAAACTCCACTAATTGAAAAAAAACTCGAGAAATGAGGAAATCAAAAAATCGCAAATTTAGAAAAGTCAAAAATTGAAAAATCGATAATTTGAACAATTAAAAAGCTGAAAAATCGGAAAACTGAGGAATCGAAAAATTTCAAAATTGAAGAAAAAATTAAAGAATCGAAAAATTGAAAACCTCAAAACTGAAACATCGAAAAATCAAGAACTCGAAAACACGAGAAATGGGAAAATCAAAAAATCGAGAAATTTATAAATCAAACAACTGAAAAATAATCGAGGCATCAAAAAGTCAAAAAACGATCAAATCGAAAAACGAAAATTTAAACAATCGAAAAATCAAAAATCAGAAAAATCGAGAAATCAGAAATCGAAAACTCGAAAAGTGGGAAAATCTAAAAATGAAAAATTGAAAAACTGAAAAATCGAAAATTAGAAATCCCAAAAGTTGAAAAAATCGTCAAATTGAAATATCGGAAAATTAAAAAAGCGAAAAAAGGAGAAATAAGGGTACCAGAAAATAGAAAAGTCAAAACATCGAGAAATAATAATAATAATCGAAAAAAATTGAAATAATCGAAAAGTTGAAAAACCCCAAAACTGAAAACTTCGAAAAACCGAAAATTTAAAAGAACTGAAAATTGAGAAGTCGAAAACTTAAGAAATGAAAAAATAAAAAAATCGAGAAATTGATAAATCAAACCGAAAAATAATAGAGAAATTGAAAATTCAATAAAAAGTCAAATCGAAAAATCAAAAACCAGAAAAATTGAAAAACTTGAAAAATCGAGAAATCAAGAAGTCGAAAGCTTGAGAAGTGGGAAAATCAACAAATAGAAAAATCTAAAAGTCGAAAAATTGAAAAACTGAAAAATCGAGAATTAGAAACCCCAAAAATTGAAAAAATCGTAAAACTGAAATATGGGAAAATTGAGAAATTGAAAAATCTAAAAATTGAAAAGCCCAAAACTGAAACATCGAAAAACTTGAAAAATCGAAAAATTGAAAAATCGAAAAATTGAAAAACTGGAAAATTGAGAAGTCGTAAATTTGAGAAAATGGGAAAATTAAAAATTTGAATAATCCAAAAATTGAAAATTTATTATAAAACTGTATCTCCATGAGGGGGTCACATGAAAAATTGAAAATTCCTAAAACTGAAATATAGAGAAATTGAAAAATTGAAGAAAAAATTAAAGAATCGAAAACCTGGAAAATCGAAAAGTCGAGAAATTGGAAGATCGAAAATTAGAATCGCCAAAATTGTAAAACTGAAATACCGGAAAATTTAAAATCGCAAACCTGAAATATAGAAAAGTTGATGGATTGAAAAAACTGAAAAGTTGAAAATCGAAAAATTGAAGAAATAATCTAATAATCAAAAAATCGAGAAATCGAAAATTGAAAAATCGAAAAACTGAAAAGCTGAAAAATCGAAAAATTGATAAATGGAACTGAAAAATAATCGAGAAATCGAAAAGTCAAAAACTCGTCAAATTGCAGAATTGAAAAAACTGAAAAAATTTAAAAGGTCAAAAAAGTAGAAAAACAGTAAAACTGAAATATTGGACAATTGAGAAATCGAAAAACTGAAAAATTCCAAAACTGAAATATTAAAAAAATTGTAAAATCGAAGGAAAAATTAAAGAATCGAAAAATTGAAAAACTCCAAAACTGAAACATCGAAATACTGAAAAATCCCAAAACTCAAACATTGAAAAACCCATAAATCGAAAAATTAAAAAGTCAAAAATCGAAAATATAAAAAACTAGAAAATCGAAAAACTAAAAAATCGACAAGTCGAAAACTCGAGAAATAGGAAAATCAAAAAAATCGAGAAATCAAAAATTTAGAAAGGCCAAAAATTGAAAAATCGTAAAGATGAATGAAATATCGTAAAATTGAGAAATCGAAAAATCCCAAAAATTAAATATCGAAAAATTCATAAAACTATAAATCGAAAAATTGCAAAAACGAAGAAAAAATTAAAATGGAAAAATTGAAAAACCCCAAAACTAAAACACCGAAAAACCGAAAATTAAAAAAAAAAATAAAAATTTAAAAACTTGAAAAATCGAAAAATTGAAAAACTGGATAATCGAGAAGTGGGAAAATAAAAAAAATCGAGAAATTGATAAATCAAACTGAAAAATAACAGAGAAATCGAAAAGTGAAACAAAAAATCGTCAAATCGAAAAACCGAACATTAAAAAAAAAAAACAGAAAAACCGAAAAATTGAAGAATTGAAAAAATTGAAAAATCGAGAAATCCAAGTAGTCGAAAACTCGAAAAGTGGGAAAACCAACAAATCGAAAAATCTAAAAATTGAAAAACTGAAAAATCGAAAATTAGAAACCCCACTAATTGAAAAAATCGTAAAATTGAAATATCGATCGGAAAAATGAGAAATCGAAAAAAAAAAACTCGAGAAATAAGGAAATCAAAAAATTTAAAAATCTTAAAGTAATAAAATCGAGAAATCGTGGAGTTCAGAAATGAAAAAATCGCAAATTTAGAAAAGTCAAAAATTGAAAAATCGATAATTTGAACAACCAAAAAGTTGAAAAATCGGAAAACTGAGGAATCGAAAAATTTCAAAATTGAAGAAAAAATTAAAGAATCGAAACATTGAAAACCTCAAAACTGAAACATCGAAAAATCAAGAACTCGAAAACACGAGAAATGGGAAAATAAAAAAATCGAGAAATTGATAAATCAAACAACTGAAAAATAATCGGGGCATCAAAAAGTCAAAAAACGATCAAATCGAAAAACGATCGAAAAATAAAAACCAGAAAAACCCAAAAATTGAAGAAACTGAAAAATCGAGAAATCAAGAAATCGAAAACTCGAAAAGTGGGAAAATATAAAAACCGAAAAATTAAAAAACTGAAAAATCGAGAAATTGAAAAGCTGAAAAATCGAGAAATCAAAAAATTGAAGAAAGAATCTAATAATCAAAAAATCGAGAAATCAAAAACTGAAAAGCTGAAAAATCGAAAAATTGATAAATGGAACTGAAAAATAATCGAGAAATCCAAAAATTAAAAACTCGTCAAATTGGAAATATGAAAATTTAAAAAATCGAAAAATCAAAAACCAGAAAAATCAAAAGATTGCAGAATTGAAAAAACTGAAAAAATTTAAAAGGCCAAAAAAGTAAAAAACTGAAAAATTACAAAACTGAAATATCAAAAAATTGTAAAATAGAAGGAAAAATTAAAGAATCCAAAAAATTGAAAAACTCCAAAACTTAAACATCGAAATATTGAAAAATCCCAAAACTCAAACATTGAAAAACCCATAAATCGAAAAATTAAAAAGTCAAAAATCGAAAATATAAAAAACTAGAAAATCGAAAAACTAAAAAATCGACAAGTCGAAAGCTCGAAAAATAGGAAAATCAAAAAAATCATCGGGAAATCAAAAATTTAGAAAGGCCAAAAATTGAAAAATCGTAAAGATGAATGAAATATCGGAAAATTGAAAAATGGAAAAATTGCAAAATCGAAGAAAAAATTAAAATGGAAAAATTGAAAAACCCCAAAACTAAAACATCGAAAAACCGAAAATTTAAAAAAACTGAAAAATTTAAAAACTTGAAAAATCAAAAAATTGAAAAATGAATAATCGAGAAGTCGAAAACTCGAGAAGTGGGAAAATAAAAAAATCGAGAAATTGATAAATCAAACTGAAAAATAATAGAGAAATCGAAAAGTGAAACAAAAAATCGTCAAATCGAAAAACCGAAAATTAAAAAAAAAACAGAAAAACCGAAAAATTGAAGAATTGAAAAATCGAGAAATCCAAGTAGTCGAAAACTCGAGAAGTGGGGAAACCAACAAATCGAAAAATCTAAAAGTCGGAAAATCTAAAAATTGAAAAACTGAAATATCGAAAATTAGAAACCCCACTAATTGAAAAAATCGTAAAATTGAAATATCGATCGGAAAAATGAGAAATCGAAAAAAAAACTCGAGAAATGAGGAAATCAAAAAATTTAAAAATCTTAAAGTCAAAAAATCGAGAAATCGTGGAGTCAGAAATCAAAAAATCGCAAATTTAGAAAAGTCATAAATTGAAAAATCGATAATTTGAACATTCAAAAAGCTGAAAAATCGGAAAATTGAAAACCTCAAAACTGAAACATCGAAAAATCAAGAACTCGAAAACACGAGAAATGGGAAAATCAAAAAATCGAGAAATTGATAAATCAAACAACTGAAAAATAATCGAGGCATCAAAAAGTCAAAAAACGATCAAATTGAAAAACGAAAATTTAAACAATCGAAAAATCAAAAACCAGAAAAATCCAAAAATTGAAAAAACTGAAAAATCGAGAAATCAAGAAATCGAAAACTCGAAAAGTGGGAAAATCTAAAAATCTAAAAATTGAAAAACTGAAAAATCGAGAAATAATAATAATCGAAAAGATGAAAAACCCCAAAACTGAAAACTTCGAAAAACCGAAAATTTAAAAGAACTGAAAAATTGAGAAGTCGAAAACTCAAGAAATGGAAAAATCAAAAAATCGAGAAATTGATAAATCAAACCGAAAAATAATAGAGAAATTGAAAATTAAAAAAAATGGCAAATCGAAAAATCAAAAACCAGAAAAATTGAAAAAATTGAAAAATCGAGAAATCATGAAGTCGAAAGCTCGAGAAGTGGGAAAATCAACAAATAGAAAAATCTAACAGTCGAAAAATTGAAAAACTGAAAAATCGAGAATTAGAAACCCCAAAGATTGGAAAAATTGTAAAACTGAAATATGGGAAAATTGAAAAATTGAAAAATCCCAAAAACTGAAATATAGAGAAATCGAAAAATCGAAGAAAAAATTAAAGAATCAAAAAATTGAAAATTCGAAAACTTGATAAATGAAAAAATTCAAAAATCCAGGAGTCCAAAAGTCGAAAAATCCGAAAATCAAAAATGCATCGATAAAAAAATTTTGATTAATTTTTTTCCAAAAATCTGGATGTCTAAGGTAAAAACTCGACACGGATTCATAAATTACAAGTACAGGTACATTTTATTTTGTAAAACTTAAATATTATTTGATGATGCATATTTTGGGGATGACGTCATGCTGTTGTTGGGTTAGCGTTTTACCATCTCCACGATATTAATACGTATAAAATTTGACAAGTTTGAGATCATCTATCAAATAAAATTCCGGACGCCGTGCATGCGCGAATTCAAACTTCCCGCCAAAAACCGTGCCACCGCACACACAGCTAAATAAATACTCACTGCTTCTGCTTAATGCACACGAGCGCCGTCAGCAAATCCACGGTGTCCCTCAGCAGAATCGGCTCCGAATGAAAATGACAAATGTTGGAATAAATTTTATCTAGAATAAAATTCACCACGAAAATCGCACCTTCGGTGTCTTTCCCCACCGCTCCGACTAGCACCGGGCTCACCTGCAACCTTATTTTAAAAACCAACCACCCAACAAATTATTCATCCTCACCTCTTGGTAATAGTTCTCTACAGGCAACAAATACGAAAGGCACCACCGTTTCAGAAACCACATAATCGTCGAACTCACTTCAGGACTCATAAAGTGCCCCAATTTCGCCTCCGCCGCCGAGTTCTCCACCACACACAGCTTCAGCACGTCTGAAATTATCCTCACTATGTGATCGCACCTCTCTATTTCCGGCGGCACGTTGTTAATCTGGTGCGAAGACGCTAAAACCGCCAAACTCGCGTCGAGAGTGGCGGCGCCTTGCCGCAACTGCTCGATGGAGTACTGCATCATCTCCGACGGAATCATCGGCGTTTCGCCGTCGCTGTCCATACAAAGAATGTGACCGGCGATCAAAATCACCCAGTGGATGTCCTCGAACAAGTTATCCAAGTTCGCGGACTCCGAGATATTCATCGCCCTCGACTCCATCAACTGGAGACTCATTTTGAGCTTCTCCGTGCTCATCTCGAGCAATCTATTGCAGGGAAAAATACAAATAAAACAGTTACTATCTCACCTAACAACTTACAGCACGACATTGATTAAATACATATAGATAGACCCATGCTATTGTTTGGAGCGAACAGGTCAACGGCCGGCGAACAAGAGATGGCGCACCAACAGTTGGCCGTCAAACGCCGGCGAAAAGCTTGGACACCAATCACGCGCATAGGTAACACAAATCACACCAACAATACATTTAATAAATCTACCACTCGATAGAGGGCGACGAAAAAAATGTGTAAAAATCTCATAGTCAGCATTTAGATAATTTACAACGTTGCCAGATGAGCCTAACACAAGTTTGCCGTTATTTCTAGCCAAGTAGGTTTTATTTCGTTTCAAAGTTTCTGATAAAGAAATGGGATTATTATAATGAATAAAAATAAATAAAACAAACAAATTATTACTTGTTATTTTAAATACTTGTTAGTGCTAACATTATTATAAATACGGTAACTCAAATTTTATAGAAAGAGTGAGATGTTTCAGGACGAGGCGACCGTAGGGAGCCGAGTTTTTAATTTCGAAACGAGTAAGTACTGCGAAAAGAGTTATCGGAGGTATGTCGTTATGGATTTTATTTCATACTGTAAACATATTTTTTTTATTCGATAAAATAATTACTATTTTGGAAAAAGTTCAAATCGAGTCACTTTTTCTGACGTCGTTAGCAACCGCTGTTTGGCTAATGTTTTAATTTGTTTATTCGTGCAAATCAGCATCAAATGTTTAACAAACTAAAATTTTCATTGAAGAGACAGACTGTTCTAGGAAACTTTATTACAAATCTCTTCATTTACGAGCTGCTGAAGGACCGCCGGTCTTATTGATAATTCTTACCTACTTCAGTTCTTACCTGGATTGTAATTAAGAATGAAGCGAAAAATGTTCCAACAATAAAAACCAAAATGTACAGATTGGAAATATAGTAAATGGGGTAGTACAATCGCACGCAAATATTTTGAGCCTATGGGCGGATCATTTTTGCCGGTCGTCACCGAAGGACGCGGTCCAAATCGTCCAAGGGCAGAATTTGTAGGTAGGCTCAAACTACAACGAAATTTACGTGTTGACCAAATTCTTACCCTGAATTAGTTTTAATTTTATAAATACCCTATCTAAAATGTTCAGAATATGATGAGTCTATACTTGTGATTTACCATTCCATTAATATTTTTTGGATTTGTTTATACATACAGGGTGACTAAAAAAAAAATGACTGAGTCAATTTATTTTATTGAAGAAATCAAGAATTGCAATGAATACTTTGAAATCTTTTCAATTAGTTACAAAAAAAAACCTGTCCTGCTCTAATAACATCGAGAATATGCTCAAAATCACACTAATATTAGGTCTAATTGTGCCGACCATAATTATAAAATTCACATTAAAGTAAGTCACGGACATTTTTTGAAGTGTACTACATTTCAAAAAGCAAAAAAAATGTTCAGTTTATAAACTTCATAATTTTGGTTTAAACTTTATCAATCTATTTGACGCTTTATTTTATCCATTCCATTTGTTATCTTTTACTGCGGTCTCTCTTGGGTCGAGGTATAACACCGGACCGAACGTTCTTCGACCGATAGGATAATTTATTACTTCCGACATCTTTTCGGTGACAAATTTAATCTTTGCATACTTCAGCGTAGTTAGTGAACTCGTTGTGACCACTGAAATATACAAAGAGTAAATTTTGAAATGGAACGAAAGTCGAAGAATACTTTCAAAGCCACGATCAAAATGTATTTGCTTATCTTCGCCAAAAAATGCATGACGTCATCGTAAAATTTGATATGATGAGTCTATACCTGTGATTTATCATTGCAGTAATATTTTTTAGATTTACTTATACAGCCTGTCTCAAAAAACGATCACTTCGATTTTCGATTTTTCGTTTTTTCGACCAACAGTTTCATCGAATTAGATTTTTCAGTTTCCATTTTTCTATCAACTTTTCGATTTTATTACTTTCTAATTTTCTGATTTTTCAAATTTGCGGTATTTTGATTTTTCGAGTTCAGTTTTTTCGTTTTTCGATTTTTTAATTTTTCGTTTTTTTGATTTTTGGGTGTATCGATTTTTTAATTTACCATTCTTCCAATTTTCGATTTTTCGTCTTTCCATTTTTAGATTTTTTGATTTTTGTGTTCGTCAGTTTTTAGACTTTGCAATTTTTTTGCATTTTTCGATTATATTTTACTTTCCGATTTTTTTGATTTTTGAATTCTCGATTTTACGTTTTTAATTCTTCGATTTTCGATTTTTAATTTTCCGGTTTTTTAATTCTTTTATTCTCGATTTTTCGATTTTCCATTAATCATAAAATTTTTCCATTTTCTGATTTTACGATTTTTCGATTTGCGATTTTTCGATTTTCGTTTTTCCGCTTTTGTGGTTTTTCGATTTTTCTGTTTGTTTCAGTTTTTATGGTTCTGCAATTTGCAGCTTTTAGATTTCAATTTTGTTACTTTCCGATTTTCCACTTTTCGATTTTTTGATTTTTTTTCGATCGTCGTTTTTTCGATTTTCATTTTTTCGATTATTTGATTTTTCAATTTTTAGGCTTTGAAATTTTTTTACTTTTCGCTTTTTCGAGTATTTGTTTCATCGAATTTTCGATTTTTCGATTTTCGATTTTTCGGTTTTTGCTAGGGATGTACCGACTAGTGGCCGACCGGTCGGATAAGCCAACTATTCGGCCGTTTTTCATCGTCGGCTGCAGTCGGCAACTAGTCGGCTAAACAGCCGATCGGTCGGCTTTTTTTATTAAAATTAAAATAGTATATAAAACAATTAAACTCGGTTTACAGAACCTCAATTAAATATTTAATTGCAATTTAATTTTTAACCCCGCGTTGAAGTACCATGTGACCGACTCTACGCCAATCAGACGTCGCTAATGGCCTTGTTAAATGCGTGATCAACTTAATCTCAGTTAAAATATTGTATAAACTGGCCCTAAATTGTGTTATTCTTTATTTTTGTACTGAGTTACTAAAAAAAATTAAATGTTAAAATTATCCAAAGAAATTTAACACATTTTTTTGAAAACAAAGGAACTTTAGTTATTCCTTTTATTAAAATAAAACAAATTTTTAAGGTAGTCAGAGAAATAGAAAAAAAAAACACACCGTTTGTCGCATTTATAAACCGGTTTTAGCAAAGCCGAACAGTCGGCCGACTAGTCGGTTTTTACTGGCCGAACAATCGGCTAGTCGGTTAGTCGGCCAGACCTACAGTCGGTACATCTCTAGTTTTTGCATTTTCCGATTTTCGATTTTTCGATTTTCCATGTTTAGATATTTTTCGATTTTTTTTTATTTTCCGATTGTTCTGTTCGTCAGTTTTGAGACTTTGCAATTTTTACTTTTGCACTTTTCTATTATTTTAGTTTCGGATTATTCGATTTTTGAATTTTCGTTTTTTTTTTCATTTTTCGATTTCCGATTTTTTAATTTTTCGATTTTTCGGTTTTTTAATTTGTCGATTCTCGATATTCCGATTTTCGATTTTTCGATTTTCCAATCTTCGATTTTTCAATTTCCAGTTTTCGATTTTCCACTTTTTGATTTTACGACTTTTCGATTTTTCTGTTCGTCAGTTTTTAGGCTTTGCAATTTGTTTACTTTTCGATTTTTCGATTATTTTACTTTCCAGTTTTTTGATTTTTGAATTGTCGACTTTTAGAGTTTTCAATATTATGAATTTTCGAATTTTCGGTTTTCCTATTTTTCGATTTTTGATTTTTCCATTTTTCGGTTTTTTGATTTTTCAATTCTCGGTTTTTCAATCTTGCAAATTTTCGATTTTTCAGATTTGTGAATTTCCAGTTTTTTGATCGACCTACGTATTAGATTCATTGAATTTTCGATTTTCGGTTTTCCATTTTTAGATTTTTGATTTTCCAGTTTTGTATTTTCAGATTTTCTGTTTTTCGCATATCTGATTTATCAAATTTTCGATTTTTCGGCTTTTCGATATTTGATTTTCGAATTTTCGATTGTTCAGTTTTCCATTTTTCAGCTTCTAGACTTCAATTTTTTTACTTTTCGATTTTCCAAATTTTCGAGTTTCAATTTTCAGATTCTTGATTTTTCGATTTTCTTTTTAAATCTTTGAATTTTTCGGTTTTGATTTTTCGAATTTTTGATTTTTAATTTTTCCATTCTTCGGTTTTTAGACTTCAATTTTCTTTGTTTTAAATTTTTCGATATTCTATTTTCCGCTTTTCAGAATTTTCGATTTTCAGTTTTCAGATTTTCCATGATTAGAATTTTGGATTTTTCAGTTTTATGATTTTTCGATTTTTAGAAAATTTGAGTAGTCGAATTTTCGATTTTTCAATTCATAGATTTTTCTATGTTCAATTTTTCAATTTAAATTTTGCGATTTTCAATTTGTCCATTGTCGACTTTTAGAATTTTCGGTTTTTCAATTTTTCCATTCTCAACTGTTAGACTTCAATTTTGTTACTTTCCGATTTTTTGGTTTTCGATTTTCCAATTTTCAGAATTTTCAAGTTTCTTTATTCAGATTTTCCATTTTCCACTTTTTCGATTTTAGATTTTTCGAATTTTTGTTTTTCCAATTTTTTGCTTTTTCGATTTTTCTGTTCGTTTCAGTTTTTAGGCTTTGCAATTTTTTTTACTTTATATATTTTGATTATTTTAATTTCCCATTTTTTTAATTTTTGTTTTCGATTTTTTTAATTTTCAATATTACAAATTTTTTACTTTTCGATTTTTTGGTTTTCTCGTTTTTCAATTTTAGATTTTTCGATTTTTGAGGTTTGTGAATTTCCACTTTTCGATCGACCTAGGTATTTGATTCATTGAATTTTCGATTTTTTGATTAGCCATTTTGAGATTTTCGATTTTTAGGATTTGTATTTTTCGATTTTCTGTTTTTTGCATTAGTGAATTTCAGTTTTTCCGATTTTTGATTTTGCGCATAATTAAAAATGTATCA